GATGAACAGTGTGTTGATAGATTTTTAGTAGTTTGACTTTTCTTTTGGAGAATTTAAAACCCATTAGGGGTTTCCTGAAGTTCACAGCACACATGTGCATGCCTGAGGCGAGGTGAGGTGGTGTTCTGAGCTCTGGTGCAGGCGCCCTCTCAGGGACCTGGGCATACGTCACAGGAGGACCATGGTGAGAGCACTTGCCAAAATGATTTTTGTTGTTGTTGTTTTGGTGGTACTGGGGTTTGATCTCAGGGCTTCACACTTGCTAGACAGGTGCTATTCCACTTGACCTATGCCCCCAGCCCTTTTGTCTTAGTTATTTTTCTAATAGGGTCACACTTATGCCCAGGCCAGATCTGGACCATGATCCTCCTATTTGCTGGGGTGGCAGGCATGTACCACCACCTCCAGCTTTTATTGGTTGAGATGGGATCTTGAGAACTTTTTGCCCAGTCTGTCCTCAAACCCTGTCCTCTTGATCTCTGCTTCCCCAGTAGCTAGGATTATAGGTTGGAGCCACTGTGCCTGGCTAATATGGTATAGTTTTTAGAAGGTGGTCACATTTGGCTGTCCATTGCTGCTAAATTCCTGACCTCCGGGCACCCAGGACGGTGACCATCAGCCACAGCTTTGTCACAAAGCATCTCCTTACCAAGGTAACATGTACACGTCGTAGCACTGCTTGTAATGACTCAACCTATGTTGTTCTGCTTTGCACAAGTGTAACGGAAATGTGTTGCATAAATGTTTCCATAACATAGCTTATTCTCCTACAAATGGGTAAAGCATCAGCATCTGATAAATAGCCTCCTGTCACAGCTATGTGAATGGAAGTGCCAGGAGCCCTAGCTGGGAGCAAGATGCCATGCATTGTTTTAAGAAAATGGCAGGTGAGCCACACATGGGGAAATTACCAGCTTTGATGAGGCCAAGCCGAAGAAAATGGAGACACAGAACAAGAACACCTTGCTGACCAAAGAAACCACTGAGCAGGAAAAGCAGAGTGAAGTTTCCTAAGAGCTTAGAGGATTCTCCACCCGCATCTCATCTCTGAGACGCTTCATAATGTGGAGGAAGAGCCACCAGCACAGTGGAGTCACAAGTCGCAGCTGCCTGGGAACTTTGAGCCAATGCGACTGACCTGTGGGTCTCTGAAAAGGAGGGTCACTGAAGAGGACATGTATCCACCTGTGTGAGTGACCGGGTTGAAGCAAATTATAGCCACAATGACATGCTGCCTTACACCTGCTGTATGGCAAAAAATTCAAAACTTTGACCATATCAAGTTGACAGGGGTGAAAAGTAGTGGAAACTTGTCCACTACTGGTTGGGCATCATTGTCACCAGCACTTTGGGCTGTGATACTGCATGCGTATGCTTTATGACACCTCATGGGCTCCTAGGATTGTGCCAGTGATACCTTCCTGTATGCCAGGAGAGATGCTGTCTAGAGCAGCACCATACCCATACGCTGGCCCCTCTCTGGGAACCACATGGCCACGAACTGCCGGTGACTACGTGTGGCATAATGTGATGGGAATGCTGCATGCACAGCAGGTGAAGGGAGCCCAGCTACCCACAGGGACATGGATGTACTCAGTCATTTGTTAGCAGAGAAACTCATACAGCATCATATCCTCTTCAGAACATGGAAGACACAGCAGTGTCACGGCCACACACATAGGCACAGCGGTCAAGACAAGCAGAGAGTGCTAAAGACCACTTCTGAATTAGGCAGCATAGCATCTCAGACAGGTGCTATGGAAGGGCACTATGGCCCAGCAGTGATCCAGACCCAGGTCTACTCTGGGTGGCAGGCACATGGGCATTTTGAGTCTGTCTGTCTGTCTGTAGCTCACATGTTGCAGGTGCTGTTCTGCCTATTCAGAAGTGAATGCACAGATTTCAAAAGGTGACCCTTCCGTGCAAGCGTGCCTGGGCAGAGAGCAGAGCTTCCTCCTCAGGGAGGCTGTGGAGGATCCATGACAGTATTCCTAGGTGTCATCCCAAGGAAAGGCTCAGGAAGAAGAGTCCACACTGGCTGGAGCAGTAAGTCACCACAAGCTGGGGCCAGAGGAACACTGAGGAGGAAAGACAGGCCTCTTGGTTGAAGCCACTTGCAAGCTTGAAGCTCATGTTGCTATTCCCTTGCTCTTGAATTTGGAGAGAATCTTACTCTTCTGTTTTCCCAGAAAGAAAATTGCCATGTACTTGACTCTCCTGCAGGATATACCTGTCATTGAAGATGAGTTTCTTCTCCTCCTCCTCCTCCTCCTCTTCCCTCCTCCCCACTCCTCAAAATGTAAAAGTGATACATTTTATAAAATAACTGTGGGATATACATATGACATTTACCATCTTAACCTTTTTTTTTTTTCAGTACTAAGGTTAGAACTCAGAGTTTTGCACTTGCAAAGTAGGTGCTCGACCACTTGAGCCTCACCTCCAGTCTGTTTTGGTGTGGTTATTCTGGAGATGCTGGCCTTGAACTGCAATCCTCGTGATCTTAGTCTCACAAGCAGATAGGATTCTGGGCATGACCCACCAGCACCCAGCTTTAGCCATTTTTAAACATACAGTTCATGGGCACTCAGTACATTCACATTGTTGTGCATCCATCTCCACCCCTCTTCATCATCCCAAACTGAAACTGTCCCCATTAAACACTAACTTCTCTCCCCCATGCCCTGTGCCTAACAATCACCATTCTACTTGCCTCCATTAGTTAGACTACACTAGGTGCCTCTTGTGGATGGAGTCACACAGTACTTGTCCTTTTGTGACTGGCTTATTTCACTTAGCATAACGTCCTCAGGCTCATCTATGTTGTGTCAGAAAATCCTTTAAAGACTAAGTGATATTCCACATATGCCATTTTGTTCATCCATCCATCTCTTCACGGGCACTTGGGCTGCTGCTGCCTCCTGGCTATTGTGACTAATGCTGCTAATGGAGGGACCTGGGTGCACAAATACCTCTTTGAAGTTATGCTTTTGATCCTTTTTGAGTATGTACCCAGAAGTGAGATTGCTGAAGCATATGGTAATTCTATGTTTATTTTTTTATGGAGCCACCATAGTGTTTTTCCATAGTGTTTACATTCCAACCAGCAGTATACCATGGTTCCAATTTACCCACATCCTGCCAACACTTCGTAATTTCTGAGACTTAGTTTTAATAGCTATCCTGGGGTGTATGAAGTGGTGTCTGACTATGGCGTTGCTTTGCCTTATGATTAGTGATGTTGAGTATCTTTTCATGTGCTTTCTGGCCGTTTGTGTACTTCTTTGGAGAAATTTTAAGTCCTTTGCGTGTGTGTGTTCAAGCACACACACACACACACACACACACACACACACACACACACACACCTTTTTTTTAATTTAAGACAGTTTCACTGTGTAGCCCAAGCTGGCTTCAAACTTGAGATCCTTCTGCATCAGCCTCCTGAGTGCTGGCATTGCAGGCATGCACCACCACTGGCTTCCTTTGTCCATTTTTAAATTAGATTTGAGCCATACCTCCAGCCCAAGATCTTTCTTTTTTGATAGTTGTTGACTGTTGTTGTTTATATATTCTGGATGTTATCAGGTATATTTTAAAACACTTTACATTCTTACTTTATTACCCTGTTGATAGAGTCCTTTAAAGTACAAAAGTTGTTAATTTTCATGAAGTCCCATTCATCTGTTTTTTTCCTCTGCTGCTTCTGATTTTTATGACCTATCTAAATCTAATATTACAAAGCTTTCTCCCTGTTTTCTTCTAAGAGTTTTACAGTTTTTGCTCTTATGTTTAGATCCTTGATCCATTTTGAGTTAAGTTTTGTATATAATGTTAGGCAAGAGTCCAACTCTATTCTTTTGCATGGGAATATCCAATTTTCCCAGTACCATTTGTTGAAAATACTGTCCTTTTCCCACTGAATGTCAAAGATCATTCCAGCGGGGCACATTCCTGTAATTCCAGCACTTGGGAGGCTGAGGCAGGAGATTGCCAGTTTGAGGCCAGTCTCAGCTATATAGCAAGACTGTATCTCAATGGGGAAAAAAAAGTGGGGGGAGAGGGGGAGTGAGAAGTGTACCTCAGTGCAGAGTTCTTGCCTGACATACTTAAGGCCCTGATGTCGATAGCCAGTACTGCAAAAAGAAAGAAAGAGAGAGAAGAAAGTAAGGAAAGGAGGAAGTGAGAAGGAAAAGAAAATGATTTGTATCTGAGGGATTTTTTGGAGACTATTTCTAGAGTAATCAGTAATTTATTGAAGATTAATGCTGAATCCATCACTTACATAAATGCCATGGTCCTTTGAATCATTAGTCTAGGATTTGGGGCTTATCCAGCATTACTGCTGGGCTCACTCAAGAGTCTTTTTTTTTTTTTTTTTGTAGTATTGGGGTTTGAACTCAGGGCCTACACCTTGAGCCACTCCACTAGCTCTTTTTTCGAGAGGGGTTTTTTTCGAGATAGGGTCTCACAAACTATTTGCGCAGGCTGGCTTTGAACTTCGATCTTCCTGATCTCTGCCTCCTGAGTAGCTAGGATTACAGGCATGAGACACTGGCTCCTGGCTCACTCAGGCTCACTCAGGAGTCTTGTTGGCTGCCTTTTCTTTCGTGTTTCTTAAAGCAAACATAGCATGCAATGTATTTGATCTATGTTTTCTTTTTTTTATTCGTTTATTCATATGTCTAAATTTTCGTAATTATTTGTGTGTAAAACCCACCTACTCACTGCTTCTAACTAAATGTAGGTATTAGTACTCTCTTTAGTACATTTAAAGTTAGACTTTGAGAATGTAGCTCAGTGGTAGAGCATGTGCTTAGCATTCACAAGGCCCTGGGTTCAATCTCCAGCACCCAAAGAATAAAAAGAGAAAAATTTTGAAATCTTTGACTTCTAGTCCTGCCCCCTCCCCATTCTTCAAAACAAATGAATCCTAAATAAACCTCCTTAGCATGTTTGATTCTCTCTATAACGTACAGCGTTGTCTGATTCATTCACAGGTTGTAACATTTTTCTCTTGTCCCAGCTGTGTGGACAGTGCCACACGCCCTGCTGAACAACGACGGCTCTTGTGTGCATTTTCCAGTGTTTCTTTTGTCAGAGAGTCCAGCAAAGCCGCAGCTCTTCCAGTGCCAGCCCTGAGCTGAGTGAGGAGCGCCCAGCAGAGATGGTGAAAATGACCAAATCCAAAACCTTCCAAGCTTATCTGCCGAACTGTCACCGAACATACAGCTGTATCCACTGCAGAGCCCACCTGGCCAATCACGACGAACTGATCTCCAAGGTAAGTGGTTTAGGTCCAAAAACGGATGAAATACCTGCAACAGAGTGATTATTTGTCATTGTGGAAGCTACTTCCTGATTTTGTTGTGCTCCAAAGGTCTAGAGTCTTCTGGACAGTGTTGATGAGTTTTGTGTGTGATTAAATGTGATTATGCATTAGTCTTGGTCATGATCTTGGCACAATGGATGAGTTTGGTAGGGCCAGGCAGTTGGGGCTCCCATGGTTTCCAAAGAACAAGATGAATCAGTTATTTGTCAGAGCAGCGAAATTAATGTGAAATAGAGAATTATGAAGAAACAAAAAAAGTCTGGAAAATCTGTACCAGTGGTTTTATAAGGAAATTAAGACATTTTTAAACTCCAAATGATTAAGAAACAAAATGCTCAAAAAAGCGCTCAGGGCTGGGGATACAGCCCAGTGGGAGAGTGTCCACTTAGCGTGCACAAGGCCCCTGGGTTCCATCCCCAGCACCAAAAAGAAAAAGACAAATGCCTAGGAGAGTATGACCACCTGTGCTGGGGTCTGCAGGCGCCCTGGTGAAGCGCTTGACTGTCTGTCTCTGTGTCTCATGACACATGAATAGCCTTGAAGACATAAACTACCTGCTTCCCCCATTCCATTGAGCTTTCTGTCAAAAGTATGTGATGTTTATAATCAACCAGTTGGGAACATTTAGATCAGTCCATACATAACAAGCAAACTAATGCTTACTCTGGGAACCACAGTCCTAACCACCTGTCCCCTGCAGGTCATGACCCCTTGAACATCCTTAACAGGTCATAACCCCCACCCATCCTCCTAGGCTGCTTTCAAAGTCCTGTCAACAAATTCCACCTTATAGGACTCATCTTAAGTTTATTTAACTCAGAAAAACATTTATCTACTTGCATTTTCTGCATGCACTCCAGTTGGCTGGTTCTTCATAGTAAAGTCTTAGAAGTGGGATCACTGAATCATATAGTATGTGCCTTTTGCCTTTTGATATCTGCAAATTGTGCCCCAGTAACTATTCCTCAGAACCTTTTGAATTTGTGCTAAGGTAATAGGCAAAAAAAAAAAAAAAAAAAACAAAACAAACAAAAAAAACCCTAAAAATAAATAAAATATTGATTTGGTTTGCTTTCTTTGATCACTTTTGAGGTTGACCATGTTGTGTTGGGTCTTTTAAGCCTGGCACTGGAGCAGATGAACCCTCCCAGGGTTCTGTTCAGGAGAGGGATTTCATTACTACTCATCTTTGAATAAATGCATATCCAGAGCTGTTTCTTAGCTGGTGACATTTTCCTGGGGTGAAATGTCACTGGAAAGTGCTTTTCTCTAAGTAAGGGGCTGTCTTGGGCTGAGACTTTTTTCTGGGGGTAGGTGAGGGGTTGAAGTGGTCTCACTGTGCAGACTGGTTTTGAGTTTCTGGGTTCAAGAAATGCTCCTGAGTTGGTCTTATTTTTTTTGTTTTGATGGACCTGAGATTTGAACTTGAGGTTTCAAAGCTTGCAAAACAAGCAGTTTACTGCTTGAGCCTGAGTCAGTCTTCTGAGTAACTGGGACTACAGACTCAAGGTCAGAGTGCCCAGCTCTGGTTTGCTGTGATTTTATAGGACAGTCACTGGCAGAATGTGGACACAGTGGGCACTTTCTGATGCAGTATAGGCAATATCAGTTTGTTACTCTTATTTAGTGACCTTACTATTAGGGATGGAGTTTTGGAGGGGCATCTGCCCTGCTCTTTTGTAACCTATCCTGGTGGAGCTTATGGAGTCGCACGGAACTCCAGGAGGTGTGACTTGTGGGGGGCTTCCTGAGCTCAGCTTCCTGTTCTTCATTCCTTGTTCTTCATTCACTCCAAAATGCAGAACTCATCACACAGGCAGTCTCCTAACACTTTCTTCTTTTCAGTCCTTTCAGGGAAGTCAGGGACGAGCCTACCTCTTCAACTCTGTGTAAGTACTCGCTGTCAGCAGTCTGTGTTGCAGGTGGACTGGGGTCCCCATCAGATTGTCATTGATCCCTTCTGTCCATCCACCTGTTCAGTTATTCAGAGCTGGAATATGTACAGTGCCACCTGCAGTCTAGAATTACCCAACTGTTGCCTTGATAATGACCTGAAAGAATCTAATCTCTCATATGTGGGAATTTCTGAAAGCATGGTTTCATCTGAGAATGTAACCCCCCCAAGCCTGTCCCATGTTGGGATGCTCATGGTGCTAAAAAGTTGTTCCTGAGTTGGGGTGTAGCCCAGTCATAGAGCACTTGCCCAGCATGTGTGAGAACTGGGGTTTGGTCCCCAGCACTGAAAAAAGAAAGAAAAAAGTCATCCTTTCTCATTAGAGCGGGGAGTGGGGAGCTGAGAAGGTGCTGTGCTGCTCTCTAGAATGTTCTGTTTCACATGAACTTTTAACAGTGGGGGGCAGGAGCACAGACCCCCCCAATGCAGTCACCCCATGTCTCTGCAGGGTGAATGTGGGCTGTGGTCCTGCTGAGGAGAGGGTCCTCCTTACTGGGCTGCACGCAGTCGCGGACATCTACTGCGAGAACTGCAAGACCACGCTTGGGTGGAAATACGTGAGTACCTGCCTCTTCTGTGCTGTGTACAGCGTGCCACACAGGGACACACAGCTGATCAAAATATAGTCACACCTGCCCCTGCGGTGGGATACATGGTCTCAGTCAACCAGACAGGTCTCCAGCAGTTTATTTGGAAGCTGGTTAAGGACAGGGTAGGCATGGAGTCTGCCACACTCGCCTCACCAGTGATCATGGGGCTGCCTCACATTCCAGGAGCCTGAGAGGGGCTGCTTCCAGGAGGCTAGTGCCACTGCTTGGGGCGAGCTCAGAAGACCCCCTCAGTGCCAGGACCTGCTGAGGCCAGAGACAGAGGGCCACCTGCAATGCCCAGGCTCTTTTCTTGAGGTCCTCCTTCCTCCCTGGATCTTGAGATGAGGGTTCTACCCCTGCCCCAGCCTTTATCTCTGTTCCTTCTTTCTCCAGCACATGTGAATCTGACAGTTCAAAAATAACAAGCTTATTCTCCTGATCTCTGCTCCACCCCAAGGCCTGGCCTCCCTCGCTGCTCCCCAGTACTATCTAAGGTCTCTGTACCCCTCACTGCAGAAGCTAGCATCACTTGTTCTGTCATTGTCCTGACACTACATTGCCCACCTTCATCTGCTGAGCCCTCCCCACCCTGGACCACATCTGCCTTGTGGTTCTGTGGGCACCTGTTCTGGCAGCTTCTCTTCCAGCAGAAGCTGCTTGACTGTCTCGCAGATGCCCCACCTGACTCTGGCACTTGAGAAAGGTGTGGCCCACATATTCTTTGAGGCTGTGAACTTCGTTAGCTCGTGATGTCTCTCTCCCTCCCTCCCTCCTTCCTCCCTCCTTCCCCCTTTCTTTCTGTTTAGGTGAAAGCGAAGATTTATTAGGATGCCATTAAAAAATGGAATAGCTGGCAGCTACACAAAGGTGGCATCATGCCTCTTTCTTGAGTTCCTGACCATCTCTGGTCTCCCAGATTCCCTAAGAGTTGTGCGGGGATATGTTCCCAGCACAGAGATAGGTACTGTCAGGCCTGCGCACGTCCCCAGTGCCTCTACCTGCTTAGACCCAAGCCCCTCTGGGCCTCCTTCCAGAAGCTCTCTGTCCTCCGTTTGTGGCCACTGTGCTGAGTATGATCCTCTATTGCTGCCTCTGCCACTTCCTGCTGGACCATCTCCTGTGTCCACCAGGCAGGGCTCAACCCAGTCATCTGTGTCCTCAGCATCTAGGACCAGGTCACATGACAAAATGATGAGGGAGGAACTTCTTTAAGGATAAAAAAGGCCTGCTTTTTTATGCTTTTCCCATCGCTCTCACTGTGTTAATATCATTCTCCTAAATTGCCCTGCATCAGCTGTTCAGTAATCAGATTTTACTTGTTGTTTATATATTTTTACAATGCTGGGGATCAAACCCCGAGAGCCTCAGACATGCTAACCATGCACTCTTCTGCTGAGCTACATTCCCAAGCCCCATAAACAGAATAAACATTGAATGATCATTGTTTTGTCAGTGTAATGAGGAATGCAAAGTCAACCTGCACTGCCCCCATGGACGATGGCATTTGAGCCGACCTTCCTGGCACTGGGTCAGCACACAGCTCTGGGAATATCTGGGTGGAGATTATGCAGTAAACGTACTTTCTTTGTCAAGAGTGTAATGAAGTTAAACAAATGAAACATTCCTGAAACCTTCTCTCTCTACTTTTTTCTCCCAAGGAACATGCCTTTGAAAGCAGTCAGAAATATAAGGAAGGAAAATTTATTATTGAGCTGGCCCACATGATCAAAGACAATGGTTGGGAGTAAAGCGGAAGCTTTCCATTCCCTTTTGAATACTATTTTGAGAGAGACTGTGAATGTAACGGAGACACAGCATCCTGGATGACAGTGTTTCCTGAACTTCAACCTTGCAGGCTAGCCATGCTCCCACACACAAAGGCCTCTGGGCCATCTTCTTGGGTAAGGAGTCCCCGTCTATGAACTCTTCACGTATGTGGTTGTTTCTGAAATTTTGCAGTGTTCTTTTTCTAACTTCTCAAGTTCTAGAAAAAGAATTAACCAACTGATGACTTAACTGCACTTTCTTTTAACCTATGCCTTTGATACAGTTTGGCTCTGTTTTTTTTATGTTCAATAGGAAACTAAAACCAAGTCCCTAAAGACCACGGTAGGGTGCCTTTCAAGAGCAGGTTTCCCCTCTTTCTTTCCTGGAGTGTTGTAGATCATTTTTTGCTCTAAATTCTCAAAACCACAAATTGGTTATTCCTTCTGCAGATGAGCTGCTAAGACATAGTGTCTATTTAAAAATCTCCCAGCCAGGTATGGTGGCCACACCTGTGATCCTAGCACTTGGGAGGCTGAGAAAGGAGATCTTGAGTTTGAGGCCAGCCTGAGCTATGCAGGGAGACCCTATCCCAAGAGTGCTTTTCTTTTTTTTTTTTTTTTTTTTTTTGTGGTACTGGGGTTTGAACCTTGAGAGCCACCACCAGCCCTTTTTTGTGATGGGTTTTTTTGAGATAGGGTCTCATGAACTATTTTGTCCTGGCTGGCTTCAAACCACAATCCTCCTGATCATTGCCTCCTGAGTAGCTAGGATTACAGGCCTGAGCCACCGGCGCCCAGCTGTTTTCTTTTTATCTGGTTCAACAACAGAGACCGTCACTGATGACACTTCATATAAGCTATAAATAGAGGAATGTGTCCAATAAACATCTTGTTTAAGTCAATGAATTCCTTACCTAGAAAGCAAGGGAACTAGTGACTAAAGCAGACTCCCCCAGGGGACTGCAGAGGCCCATTGCTGAGGTGAAAGCCTATAGAGTTGTCCTGGGGGGGGGGGGCGTGTCATCCTCAGCTGTGACAGCAGCTGGCTGAGTGACTGGCCCTTATAGAGTAGCATGCTGAACTGAGTCAAAGTCAGGTTTCATTTTCTACTCTGGGTGTACTTGAATTATTTTTGCATATGAAAGAGGCCAGAACCAGGAGGAAATACTTTAAAACTTGATTTTTTTTTTTTTTTTAGCAAAGGCTAAAGTCAAAAGATAGGCGTAACCGTTGTAAAAGAAGGCATTTGCTTTGCTGGGAAGGCACCTTTCCTGCCTGGCACCACCACATGGACCGATGTGAAGGGGCCTGTGCAGTCTCAAATCATGTTTGTCAAATTTTAAATCACAGCCCCTACTCCTACCCTGTGCCTCTACAGGGAATGACCAGTTTTCAGAGAATGGAGGCCAGAACAGAGTCCCAGATAAGTTTTGGTTTTCAGTAGTCTGTACCTTGACTCAGGCAATAAGGGCAGGAAGAGGGCCCAAGGGGGCAGAAAGCAGGGCGCTGGGAAAGCTCTCAGCCAGGGAATAGCTCTGAATCTGCCTGTGGACAGGGTATAGTCTAGTGGCGAGCAGACTGGCTAAGCACAGAAGAAAGTGGCTTCCAGTAGTTGGTGCTCCCCAACCCCAAACTTCTCCTAAACTTGAGGCCAGCGCAAGCACTACACACCTGCTGGCTCCGGTTTGCTGCTTACCCAAGCCTACATTTTGGTGCCATCTCTTTGCCTAACACTTGAAGCCCTAAAATGTGGGAAATACCACTGCCCAGGCCTGGTGAGCGCATCACTGAGATGCATCAGCTTTGCAATAGCACCAGTGGCAAATTACTTTAAGCGCCTCTTCACCTTAGAAAAGGAAAGATGTCTGTGTGACCTGTAAGCCTCTGCACCCTGCTGTGGGCCAGCAAGCTGCTCTCTCCTCGGTTAGTTCCCTGCAGACACAGGCTGGCCCACCCTCCCCCCTCCCACCTCCCCACGTGCCTAAGTTAGCAGCCGGCTGTCCACCCTACAGTGTTCACTGCACCCGGCAGGGCTCTTGCTACCAGGGTCTAGAATCTGAAGACACCTCCTTCACTCATGACTGGCACCTGAAGTAGCAAAGTCTGTGGCTTCCATCACCCATGTGCAACTTCACAGTGTGGAGAGATGCCTTCCTTGATTTAGGAATGAACACTAAGCGAAAGCTAGCTCGGTGACGCTTCCGTTCTACTCATGATGCTCCTGTGAGTGGTAACTTAGCTTCTAAGGCTCAGAGGCCCAGGGGAAATGGCTGGGCTTCTGGTGTCCCCAGCTCACCAGAGGTATGATGAGGGCAGCCTGACCACATCTCCACAGACACTTGAGAATTTCTAGAATTCTTCTGACGACAAGTTTTTGTATTATACTACGGTTATATTTAAGCTTTCCTATGTTCTGGGCAAGCTTACTGCCTGTTCAACTTGAGCACTTTGGTTTTTGTATTGTCTTTTGTGATGGTGTTGATTGAAAACTTTTTACTATTTTATGATTTTTTTTTTTGTAATGGATACCAAGAAACCTTTCATCAAAAAGTTTTGTTGGTCTTTTGCAAAATACAAGGTTCTTTTTAAACCAAATGAACTGACCATGAGCTGGCTTCAGGGGAAGTGATACAAGACCATAAACCAGATGTGCTGGTTAAGTGCTGGAATGTTCCATCCTCTTAAATTCCTAAACAATAAATGTGATCCCATAACTGTTATTTAAATTATTTAAAAACTTTTTCTTGAGAACAGTGGGAAACAATGCCAGGATTATAAATGCATTTGTAGTAGCCTCTGGCACTTTTGCTTCAGAAATGTGGCTTAGTTTTATTACCATTTTTATTTGTATATACATAGTATTTTTATACCTTAATGCTTATTCTTGATGGTATCTGTCAGATATGCAAAAGGATCAGAAATGAGGTTTTTTTCCCCAAAAAGTTCTTTATTTGACCTGATGACCTTACCAATTACAAAATCCAAGTGGTTTCAATACCTAGAAAGCAACAATTTAAGCTTTAAAACAAACTACAGAAATGTGAGTCCTCATTTGTCAAAGGCCCCTGAAGGGTCCTGTCCTCTGTCCCGGTGGGTAAGCCTGGGTGAGGACCTGGCTGTCTCCTCAGGGCAGACGCAGGCTGTTGGGTGAGACTGGATGGGCAGATGGACAGAAGCCTGAAGGCAGCTGGAAGTTCGCCGTGAGGAACAGGACTGCCAGGATCAAGCACATGTGCAGCCTTCAGCCTCCCTGTCCCCTGGTCGCTGTTGGTCCTATGTCTGTGTGAGGTTTAAAAATAAAGCTTCCAGTGTCCAGCTTCTCATTTTCCATAGTGCTTACTGTCCAGGATTGACATGGAGGGAAGAGCCTGTTTTCCTGTGGCACCTGCTGGTTGCAGAGGACTATGTCAGGGCCTCAGAGCTCTCCTCTAGGGGCCCTGGGCTGCTGGGATCCTGCTTCTCTGTCACCACCTGGTTTGGGGACTTTAAGCATGACCAGAGAAAAGTACAAAAATATAATTAGGACGACTGCTGCATCTGTCTGTCCTGAAGAGCCAGGCCCTCCTGCAGGGTATCCAGGCCAGTCACAAGGGTCTCCAAGAATATGCTCTCCTCCCACCCTAGAAGGGCCCCTGTCATATCCACACCTCTGAGCACCTTGGTGTTGACTTGGGGCCTACAGATGTGTGCCCACTTGGGCATCCTGCTGAGCCTTTGCCTCTTATACTTGGCTATGTGAGGTATCAGACTGCCTGTACCCAGATAAGTCAGCAGGGAGGGGAGGAAGGACAAACAGCTGGCAGGAGAAGCTGGGTTAGGTCACTGTGGAGCTCTGGGCCCTGACTGGTAGTCACAGGTAGGACTGGCTGCAGAGGGACGGGCTGGAGTCAAAATGGAGATGGCCTATAGGCAAAGCACAGGCCTTGTTCTCAGCATAACAAAAGCCAGTAACTGGGATGGAGCAAGATGAAAATAGACAAACTTGCCTCGAGATCACTTGGCAGCTGTATAGAAGTGAGTGAGGGGTAAGGGCAGAATGGAGAAGTGGGTGACACTGCCTGCCACCCAGGTGAACAAAGGGCTTAGGCCTGTGATTTTAGCATCAGAAATGGAAAAAGCAAGGGCCTCTACAACCAGGAACTTTTGGGTTGAAGACTCAAGGTTTTGGGTGAGGAGGAAAACCAAGAATAACATTCAGTGCAACAAGCTAGAAGTGAGTGGTGGCTCTGAGGACAATAGGAACACAGGAACAGGCTCGACGTAAGTGAGACAAAGTGCCAAAGAACTTGACTGTCCCCAGAGGAGAAATCTCCAGGAACAGTTGGGGACAGCTGAGGTAGCAGGGCCTAAGATCAGGGAACTGAAAGCCAGGCTGGCATGGACTAAAGATGGAACAAGCAGTGAAGAACTGATAAGTGTAAATCTTTTGAACATACTTCACAGGGGCCAGTGCAGGGCTGCTTAGTCAGGATAGGCCGCCGCAACTGGCCTAGAAAGCAGAGCGGTTGGTGACTGGGGGCAGGGTCTGAGTAAGGTGACCACCTCCTTAGCTGGGAGAACTGTCTGATATCCTAGTCATAGCATGCATGAGCTGTCAGCCTCATCCAGGTAAGGCAGCTGAGCAGACAGTAAGGTGGGTGTGCCCAGGCCCAAGCAAGGAGAAGTAGAAATGTTTGTGAAAGTATTGTCAAGGGTCAGAAGACCACAAAGGCTTGTCAAACCAGACTGGAAAGCACAAGTCCCTTGAGCAGGGTCAGGTCTGGGGCCTGAGAAATTTAGTTTCTTTGAGAGGATTTTTTTTTTTTTGTGTGGCACTGGGATTTGAACTCAGGGCCTCATGCTTGCTAGGCAGGTGCACTACCACTTGAGCCACAGTCCCAGTCCCAAGGATTTTTGTTTTATTCTTTGGTTTCTTGAAATAGGGTCTTTTTCGTGCTTGTGTGTGGTACTGGGATTTGAACTCAGGACCTTGTGCTTGTTAGGGACTCTTCTACTTGTGCCACACCCCCAGCTCAAGACAAGGTATTGCCACACAGCTCAGGCTGGCCTTGAACTTGAGTGTTGGGATTGCAGGTGTGTACCACCACACCCCGCTGGTTAGAATTTGTATTTCTAACAAGGTCCCAGGTGGTGGCAGTGGCCATGGGATCATGTTGAGTGAGCATATGGACTCTCCCTAAGGAGATGACAAGGGGCAAGGAAACTTGGTGGGACCCAGCCTTCTTCACTAACCCCAGTCTACCTATGGGAGCCAGCGCCCCAGGCAGGATAGAGGGCTGAGCTCAAGCTTGGAAAGGAGCCAGACCCGTTAATCTCAGGAAATGGGAACTAGGCAACAGGCAAGGGCTTTATTGGCTCACAGCCTGAAAGGCAGGCTTACAAAGGCAGAAAACTCAGCAATGTGGACACAAGACAAGACACACACAGCCCTGCATCCCTACCAGAATCCAGAGTGGCTAGCCTGCTGCTACCAGGAGCTGAAGTCCCCAAAACCTCGACTAGGCTTCTTTTTGGCCACAGGGGCAGCTGTACTAGTTGATGGTTCTTCCTCAGCAGCTCGTTTCCTGAGAAGAGAAGACTCCAGCTGTCACACAGGTGCCAGGCCCTGATCTGAGCCTGAACCCATGCCCTCCAACAACTCCCTCTAGGTAATTTGGTGTCTACACAGTCTTCCCTGCACAGGCTCCCTCCTGTAAAAAGTGCTGTCAAGTTTTCCAGTTCTGAGCATGGCCAGCCCCTCTGGCTGTGGTGACCCCCAGGGACCAAGCTCAGTCTCAAATCTGGTGCTTAAGGGTATTTTTGCCACCATCTAGTCTATCCCCTGTGAACAATGGAAAACTGGTTCCAGCCTCTGGAGGAGGGGCTGTGGTGACCCCCAGGGACCAAGCTCAGTCTCAAATCTGGTGCTTAAGGGTATTTTTGCCACCATCTAGTCTATCCCCTGTGAACAATGGAAAACTGGTTCCAGCCTCTGGAGGGACAAAAGATGTCAGCCCTGCTGCACTCACGTGGCTGCTGGGTTGATGTACTTGCCCACCCCCTGGCGGTACGTCTGGGGGCCCTGGCTCCCAGGCTGGGGCTGACCGATCTTGACCTTGGCCTCCGGGGCCTCTTGGAGCTGTGTCTTCTTCCGTTCCAGGGCAATCTGGGAAGGAGCAGGGGAGTAACGGCCTTAGGAATCAGCTACCTCAGGGTGTAGGGCTGTCCTGCCCCAGCTAGGAAGAACAAAACTTGCGCAGATCCCTCCCCACGTGGCCACAACACACCCCCTCACCTGGGCATCCGCCTCCTCGTAGGGGTCCACAAACACTGTGGTGGTGTGGATACGGATCTCCTCCTGCCACAGAGGAGGAGACTCAGTGAGCAGGTTTGCCCCACCCTCCCCTCAGCTGCCACGCAGCAGGGCAATGGGCCCCCTGCTCTACCTTAGGGCGGTCAGTTTTGGGGTCACTCTCCACATTCTCCATGGCAGTCAGTGTGTCAAAACCCCCAACAACCCTGCAACAGAAGGACAGAGGTAGGTCTGTCTGTGCCCACACAGGGCACCACTATGGCAAAATACCTGAGGCACCCAAGGATGCAGACTGGCCAAAGTGTGGAGCCCCACAAAGGTACCACACGGTCAGACCGGCCTGACAGCCCTTGGGCAGCAGCAGGACTGCCAGACCAGAGGAGAGGCCTCAGGAGAGCAGGTGGGTTAACCAACCACAACCCAGGCCAGAATCAGGGTTGGTGAATTTGGCCAAAACCACACCCTTTGCTTCCATACTATTTCTGATTTATGCTGCAACCCAAGTTTAGTTGTCCTAGAACTGTGCAGCCTGCCAAACTGGAAATACCATCTGGGCCTTTATGGGAAAAACTACTGATCAAGAGGAGAAGAAAGCAAGAACACAGCCCAGACTTCTGCTTCAGGCATTATCCAAAAGATGCCCAAAAGTGGGAGGATGGAAGGTCTGAGCCAGGGCAGTTGGCCAGGCAAAGCTGGGACTCATCTCTCCAGCTGACAGGTCTGGACAGCCAACCTTTCCCCTACAGAAACACACCAGGTCTGTATACCCAAGCCCTCAACAGGGACATATAAGGGCCTAACGAGCACACGTGCAAGTCTGGGGAAAAGTGGTGAGAGCACTGGCTGAAGAAGGAACCAACTGCCCAGCCCATGCAGACACCCCGGACTTCGCATACAGCTGCTCTTACCTTCCAAAGATGGTGTGCTTCTTGTCTAGGTAAGCGCAGGAGCGGAATGTGATAAAGCTAGGAAGGAGGACACGAGGGTCAAGGGAGCTTGAACTGTCCCTCTTCGTTTGTCCCTTCCTGGCAATTGCTCGACCCACAATGGGAGTCCACCCACCCTGCAGGGCCTGCTCTGGACCTTCAGCTTCCTTGTGTACCCCCACTGCTGTGGAGGGCAGTGTGTTAACCGGGGCCACTCACATAACCCCACACCTCTAGCTGCCTGGAGAAAGCCCAGATGCAGGCTTCCTCAGCTGCTGACAACCCCCTATTGGGTACCCCTGACCCACAGCCTGGCCACTTGAGCTTTGGGGAGATGGCTGGGATTGGAAGGGTAGCAAACAAAGCACGACCCTATCATGAGCCCTGCTGAAGACCAAGGACTCTTAAAACAGGTTGTCAGAAGGAATCAAAACAATCCAGATATGTGCCATTAAAAAGGAGCCCATCGCTGGGCACTGGTGGCTCATGCCTGAAACCTTAGCTATTTGGAAGGCTGAAATCAGGAGGATCACAATTAAAGCTAGCCTGGGCAAAATAGTTCATGAGATCCCATCTTCAAAAGTAATCAGAGCAAAATGGGCTAGAGTTGTGGCTTAAGTGGTAGAATACCCAAGTTCAAACCTCAGCCCGCCAAAAAAAAAAAAGCCCCACAATTAAAGAAATCCTAGCTGATCAGGAGGATCACAATTCGAAACCAGCTGGAGCAAATAGTTCACAGGACAGTATCTCAAAAAAACCTATCACAAAAAAAAGGGCTGGTGGAGTAGCTCAAAGTGGAGGCCCTGAGTTCAAGCCCCAGTATAGCAAAAAAAGAAGAACAAAAAAAGATACACCCAGGCTGGAGAAAGTAGCTCAGTGGCAGACCATGTACTTAGCACGCTGAGGCCCTGAGTTCAGTCCCCAGCACCAAACAAAAAAACAGGGAAGAACAAGTCACAGTCTTAAACAATGGATGATATGCATGCCTATTCTTCCAAAATACCGGTATCTGACTCCCCCCAACATGGACAGACATCAAGAGGTCCTGCTAGCCTTCCCTCTAGCAGCCACACCTCACATGCATTAGGGTATCCTTCTGTTCCCAGGGCCTCCAAGTCCATCCAGCACCTCTACCCACATGCCTCTTTCCCAACACACTGGTTCAGTACACTGAACAGTTCACATGGCCTCCTGGCCACATGCACTCACAAACCCTAGTTATGCCAGTCCCACCCTGAAAAGGATCGTGAGGACCTCGTTGGCAATCACGGGCTGCAGTTCTCACAGGCACACTTTCCGCATGCAGTTCTGCCTGCTGACTCCAGGAGCTCCCCTTTCCATCACAGGGGTATGTGCTTGGCCATGGTGTGCTGCACATTCTTTGGATTTGACTTAGGTCCAGCATAAACTTTAGGGGAGGTGTCAGGAAGAACCTTCCCTGGTCAACCTAGAGCAACTAGGCTGAGAAAACTGGGTGCGGACTCACAACTGAGACTTGTTGGTGTTGGGTCCTGAGTTGGCCATGCTGAGGACACCACGGCCTGTGTGAGAGAGGTTGGGCCGGAACTCGTCTTTGAAGGGCTTGCCCCAGTATGACTGCCCCCCTGGAACAGAAAAAGTATGGTGAGCTGGCAGTCACAGAAACCTGGGTCCTACAGGCAGGAGCACCTTGAAGGGAGACTTTGGCCCTGAGCATCTCACAGCTAACATTTCTGGACCCCAGCACCTTCACACAGGCTGGCTGCTGCTCACTCACACCCACTTCATGGGGTCGAGGACTAAAGATCAAAGCTGCAAGGCCTTCATACCACACTGTACTGTGGACCTGGGGGCTAGGCCCACATAGCTGGCAAGCTGCATGGCTTTCAGAGGCAACAGAAGGGAGGTTAGCCAGGATCTGAGACTTTCAAGCCCCCTAGTGGTGGAGCCCTAGAGGCACAGGGAGGGGACAATGCTTTCCCCTCCTACCATGGAGGCCTCAAGATGGAAAAGCTAAGGGACACGCCTGAGGTGACACAGAGCTGGGGTGGAGATGCAATTCTAATCTACCTATCAGATTCCACATCCAGAGTTCTCCCAACCCATCCTCCCCTCTCAGGCCCCATGGAGCAACCAAAGGTGTCAGAGACAGGCCCAGCATTGGTACCTACCTGTGCCTGTGCCTGTGGGGTCACCACCTTGGATCTGAAAGAACAAAAGCCAGTGAGCAAGTCAGCTGAGACCACTGCCCATCACCCACTGGCCACCATGAGTGAATGCATTCCCCACCTGCCAGACTCCCTGGATGGTCTGAGCCTCAGTGAAGACAGTGGCCTCCCAGACCACCTCTGCCTGAACCCAGGTCTGTCTGGGTTAGGCACTCAAGGGCCAGCCTGCAAATTCCCTGAGAGAAGACTCATTGACAGGCCATGCTCTGGCATCACAGACTGGCCCAGGTGCCCTGACAGAGCAGGGACAAGAGATGCCCCGTGCGTATGACAGTGCTGAGTTGTGCCCTTACCACAAAGTTCCTGATGGACCTGTGAAAGACGGTGCCATGGTAATAGTGCTTCCTGCAAAGCTTGATGAAGTTTTCACAAGTTTTTGGTGTCTGCAAAACAGCCCAATACATCTGTGAGGTACATAGCAGGCACAACAGCAGGGTCACAAAAGCCGTGCGAGGCTTTCACCATGCAGCAGGGAAGGGCAGCTGCCCAGCCTGCAAAGACCCAGAGACCTTAGTCCAGTCTGGCCCCAACAAGGAAAGGAAGAACCCAGAGCTGAACAACAGGACAGGACATCTGCAGTCACATGATCAACAGCAGAGCTGGAGCCGGGCCCCTTTTCTGAGATGAGTTCACACCTATATACATATACACACCAGGCAGCCAAGGGGACACAGTGTGCTATTAGCCCTGAGGAAGAAACCCAGGACACCTCAGCTTCCTCTTGGGGACAGGCAGGAGTTTCTAACTGTGAGTTCATATTTAAGACAGGGCTATTGAATGACCCCCAGAAATGACCTTGAGCTGGGTGAAGGGACACAACCACACCTACCAGGTCACAATGCAGTTCCAGGTTGAGGTCACCCTTGTTGGTATGCAGCCGTACATAGCCCTTCTTCTTCACAAACTGGTAACGCAGCACATCCTCGTCAATAGCAGCTGCAAGCAGAGACCCAGGTTCTGCACCTGCCCTTGACCTAGGGTAGCCCCATCACCCAGGCCCCATGGCCCAACCCACAGGCGCAACACTGGTGAGCCCCCAGCTCAGGGGAGAGCATGGGAGCCAGAGACCAAGGGTCTGCCCTGGCCAAGAGCAGGAGGCTGGCTGAGGCACTGAGGGATTGGGAGCTATGTAGGGCAAGCAGGAGCTCAAGTAACTAAAAGAGGAGTGCTAGAAATGCCTGGACCCAGGTGGAGAGCAATGTGGAAGAGGAAGGAGGTAAAGTTCAGGTGATAGTGAGAGACACTGACAAGCTGAGAACACAGGAGGATGATGCCAGTGACAGCCTGGGTACTGGAGGCCCAGGAGCCTCAGAGGACAGAGAACTGTGGATAGGGACAAGCTGTATGGTAAGGACAGTACCTCCTGACCAGGCCTATGCTCATGTAGCCTCCCCACCCAATACAAAACCCACCTTCCAAGAAGGCTGTCCTGCCTGACCACAGAACCCTATGGACCTCAGAGACCCCGAGATGCAGACACAATGGTGATGCTGGGGAGGGTGGGTAGGGAGGAAGCCCTGCTCACCACTGTGAACTCGTGCCCCTGGGGACTGGAGAGGCAGAGGCAGCTACCTGCTTCATGAGTGGTCTCCGGCACCATGGCGGTGGAGGTGAAGGAAGCGCTGACCTTTCCCGTGGAATAGTGGGCCTGCCAGAAGAACCACGCTGCTCAGGCCCTGTTCTGACCACCAACCACAGGCCTGGGAGACAGCCCAGACTAGACCTGGGAGCCAGTAAGGACTAGAGGATGAGAGGCACAGGAAAGCACCAGGAGGGAGAAGCTAAGGCCAGGCCCGAGGTAGTAATGGTGGAGCCAGGGATCCATGTCCTCAATGGCACCCCAACTGATGACATTAAGTCAAACCCTAGGACTAAAATGCTGTGCAGGACTAGCCTTGTCCAGGGATAGGAGTACAAGGTACTTGCAAGATTCTTTGTAAAGATTTCTTTCTTTCTTTCTTTTTTTAACAGTAAAAACATGGTATTACTAACCAGGAAAAAAGTCCCACTAAATGTGACTATCCTAGAAAGAGGAGGTAAGTGGGAGTTGCCTCATGGGAGAGAAATACACTAAGGGAGACTGTTCAAATGAGGGAATTTATGGACAAAAAACTTTTTAAAAATTTCCGTATTTCCTTAAATAATTCCTTATGGGAGAGTGTCAGTGCTGCACCATCGACCTGTGCCCTCCACTGGCTCCAGCTCTCCAAAGCTTTGCTTGAGCAGGCAGGAGACAGCACTAGCTGGTGGGCCTGGAACAGATCCCAGCACCACACAGCCGCTGGGGCCTTGAGAGACACAAACAGCACCTCAGTATTTCTTGTCCCCCCTGCCACCACAGACCTGCACAAGCTAGGGCTGTAGTGTCCCAAGATAGAAAAGTGGCCCCCGGAACCCCTGGAGCCAACAAGGAGCTGGCCACCAAAATCCAGACTGGACACCAAGAGTGCAAGGCAGCCATTCCTCAGGTGGGCCACTGCCCCTGCATGGCCCCCAGCTCACCACCCCCAGCAACTTCCCACCTGACTGGAGACCAGCATCTTGGCAGTCCTGGAGATCTTGTTATCTAGAGCCCCACAGCTCTGGCAGTGTGCCAGCTTGTCCCCTTCAAATATATCCCAGGCCTCTGAGTGCCTTCCCCAGGGTCATTCCACTGGGCTCAGAAAGGCAGGTGACAGAGCCGCCCACTCACAGCGTTTAGCTGGTCTACTTTCTTCTTCTCAGGAGCCTTCATAGTAGCTGCTAGGATTTCATCCCCTTTGAACTCCTTGTAGAGCTCCTGTAGTGTCTCTCGAGTCTCAGCATTCGTGTTTTTCAAATAATAAGATGGGTCTTGTTTGGCCTTTTCTTCATCTACAAAACAGTGTAGAGGCCCTGAGCAGCCAAGCCACAGCAGCATCTACAGATTGGTACAAGGGGACCGAGATCCAGAGCAGAAACTGCTGCAAGTTAGGCCATGGCTGTCCCATCACAGCAGCTCTGGTGGAAAACAGCAAGGCTGGGCACACAGAGCATATGGTGCCAGAGTGCCAGCCTAGGCCTGGAGGGGTCTCCCACACACCATCAGCAGGAGTCCTGGGGTCGGGGGGAGGCTTAGGGTCAACTATTTATATTTTACCTGTATATTCCAACCTTTTCACAGTGTATGGTTTTGTTTTTATAACTTTATTTTTGGTGAACTCAGGGCTAGTGCTTGCAAAGCAGGCGTACTACAGCTTGAGCCACACGTCCAGTCCTGTAACTTTATTTTATTTTATACATGTAATAGTTGTATAGAGAGATACGTTGTGATATTTACCAACGTGCTTATAATACATCTTAGTTATTAGATTTACCCCCTCCATCCTCTCCCTCCTCCTGCTTTTGTAACTTTAAAAGCTGTTATTTAACATGACAGGTTTCCAGATATGCAATGCCCCATCTGTGCCCCCATAGGAGAATAAGGCTGCCTGCTGGGCAAAGGGCTGTGGCTCCCCTGGTCGGGGGAGCTCAGCATCCCTGGGGCCTATACCTTGCTTCTGGGTCTTCCATCCTCTGATCTCCCACTTTGTATGCTCAGCCTCCCAAAATATTAAATGGTTTACACAGCTCATGCTGTCTGAGGTGTTTGTTCCCCACAGCACTAAGGCCAACTGCTCTGAGTGTGAGTCTTGCTGGCTCATCCACAGCAAGACCTCTTCCCATTTACCCCATAGTGTGTGCAACAGGGCTGGCCACCACAGGAAACTGAGGGATCAAGTGCTAGCTGCACCCAAGACTGGTATTACCCAGAACCTCTACCTGTGACAACTCCATCAGCATGCCTGGAACAGAGCAGTGGCCATAAGAGTCCAGGGAGGACTGTGGCCATCAGGGTTGAGGAAAGGCACATGGGGAGATGTGCTGCCAAGGTGGTAAGACCACCTGGTTCTTCCGTAACTGCTGTCAGCCAGTCTCTGAAAGCCCAGGCACTAAGCATGAATTCGGGGAATATGGGTCCTTCAGCTGGAGCTAGAGCACTACAGGGTCTGGGCCCAGGAAAGGAAGACTTTGCCCAGGAGCTCCACTGGTACCACCCAGAGAAGCTCTAGTTATACATACCTGGGTCTGTTATTTTCATGTTATTCTTAACGTGGAAGAAGTTGGAGACATTGAACTTGTCCAGATTGGTGGGATCCTGTGGCAAGAAGAGAGCACCCAATAGTGTGAACCCTGAGTTGTGGCTGAATGGCTGCAGCAGGTGACAGCTGAGCAGGTGCATATGGAGGACAGAGGCAAGTGACTGTGTGAGGTCTACCAAGCTCAGCAGGGATGGATTTTGCTCCAGGCATGGTGACAAGTAAGGGTGGATGGAGACAGAGTACAGAGTGGCTAGCTGCTCACCAGTGTCCCCTCCCTCCTGGGCACACAGTGAAGGAGCACCACTTGGTGGGAGGTAGCCATATGACTGACTGGGCAGCCACGGGGCCAAGCCCCAATCAGAATGGGACAATCCAGCCAGGCTGTAGTGGCTCACTCCTGTAATCCTAGCTACTTGGGAGGCAGAGATCAGGAGGATAACAGTTCAAAGCCAGCTTGGGCAAACAGTCATAAGACTGTATTTCAAAAATACTTAACACAAAACAGGGCTGATGGAGTGGTTCAAGTGGCAAAGTGCTTGCCTAGCAAGCACAAGACCCTGAGTTCAAGTCCCAGTACTTCAAAGAAAAGAGACAATCCATGGAGGAGAACTGGCAACCCTGCATTTCTACATCAGAGTCTTCATCATTCACACAGCACCCATAGGAATGTCCTGCTGCACAAGAGTACACATTCCCTGCCCTTGGAGTAGCCAGCACAGAGCCAGCCTGTAGACAGGCCAATCCGTTCTGACGCCCAGAGATTGCTGGTGGGGGGAAGAGTTGACACAGGAGGAGCTGTGAGAGTCAAACTGAAGGAAGCAGCCAATGCAAAGATCCAGGATGACCTAGAGTGGGAAGGAGTGGAGCTCTAAGGCAGTTGGTGGGAGAGAAGACCACTGAGCCTAGTGAGGAGAGCTAACAGGGCACGGGGTGCACAGCAGAGGCTCTGGGTGGGTGTGCCCTGTGGAAGGTGACACTCACCTGGAGGGTGATGATGTCTTGCCGGGAGAAGGGCTCATCAGTCAGCAGGTCTCGGAAGTTCTTGGCCTTGATGTTTAGCTGTTCCACTGCCTACAGCCAAGAGGAAACCAGTGTTCTGGTGCCTGCTCCAGACCCTGGCCTGGGCTCGGCAGAGAATAAGCATACAAGACACATGCCCTGTGGAGACATATGGTGGCACTAACACCCTGCCTGGGAATGCTAACCAAGCCAGTCCACTTGCTTCAGCCAAGTGGCCCAGAGCCCCTAAGCAGTACTGGCACAGTACATCCAGGACAGACATCCAGGAGCAGAAGGAACAGGGCCCAAAGGCAGACTTTTCTACACTATGGATCTGCTCCCCACCTCCATCTGAGCAGGAAGAACCATGGAGAAGCCACTGTCTCTTGTCCTTACATCCACTCCTGCTAGAGCTCTTCCCATCAGCCTAGCACCTGCTGCCTCCCATAAACCTCACTTTCCCTTGCCCCACAGGGTTCAGTGGGAGCCTCTCCTTAGAGTACAATACCTTCTCCATGGCCTGGGCCTGGCTAAACACAGGGGAGGACCCTGCAGGTATGAGAAGTTACTGCTCAGTAGCCAGAACTGCCTGGGATTTAGGTCTGGAGGCAAAAGGAAGCACCTGCCTCCTTATTCTGAACCTGTTGGAAAGTAGGAAGGCTGCGTAGGCAGAGCCTGGCAGACACCCTGCACTGGTGACTATAAATTCCATGAGGACAGCCATACTTGCTATATCCAGGTCACCCTAGCACTCAACAGGGCCAAGAGAGTGTCCCCAAAGCATACACCTACAGGCCTAACTCCACACAGCGCCTCCCACCCTCTCATCAAGAACCCACCTCATAGGCATACACATTGCCGGTTGTCCTGACAGCCACAATATGTGTGTTATCAGTGAACACAGTGAACAGCACTGGGCAGTGGTACTTCCCTAGAAAGAAGGAAAACACAGGGAGGCCAGTCACTCTCAAATGCTTTGACCAAACTGGGCATAGTGACACATGTAGTACCAATTACTCAGGAGGCTGAGGCGGGAGAAGCAAGAGTCAAAGCCAGCCTGAGCAACTCAGCAAGACCTTAGCTCAAACTACAATTTTTTAAAAGGGGGTTGAGGATATAGCTCAGTGAGAGGCCTTGCCTAGCATATGCAAGGTCCTGAATTCAACCCCCCAGAACGCCACCCCCCCCCCGAAAACCAGGCTTTGATCATCTCAATGAAGACCACTGCGAGGGGTGGGGGGGTCAAAGAAAGAGAAGAGATGGAACCCCAGGCCAAGCACCCAGAGCTAGGAGCCAGAGGGACAATAGCCACTCAAACTCCACCCCCATGCCATTAGGCAACTCCTATTCATTCTAGAAGACCCACCCCTGCCTCATCTTAATCAGTACAGCAGGCTGTAAGCCCCCACCCTAACCCAGGTGACCACCCGACCAAGTGCCTCCTTATCCTTTTGAAGCCAGCCTAGACAGGATATCCTCCCAGGGGCCTGGCCTCCACTGCTCTTTCCACCTCTTATGCTCATGGCACCCACATATCACTCTGTCTCCTGGCCTCCCTCACCTCTCACTTGGCTTACTGCTGCAAATGAACGCCTGTCTCCCAGCACTCATCATGCTCCACCCGGTAGGCAGGGCCCTGTCTAATGAGTCCCAAAAAATAAACCAGAATAAAAAAGAGAGAGACAGATGTCACCCACATGCATCTGGGTAGATTTTCTAAAAAGTCTGATTTCAAAATAAAAAATGGATAATAATCATTACAAAACTAGATCTCAGGTGCACATTTGACTAGATCAAGGAATTCCTGTTAATTTTTTAGGTAATGCTATTGTGATGATTTAACTCCTTAGATTTTTGAGCTACACAATGAAGTAATTAGCAGGAAATGGTAACATGTCTGGAATTTGCTTCACCATCATACCAGAGGCTGCCAAATAGGAACACAGATAAAATCAGACAGGTCATAAGCTGATGGGAAATGAGGCTAGAGATGGATGCATATGGGGTTCATTATACTAATGTTCTCTACTTACATGTGTCTGAAACTTACAATTCAAAACCAATTACAACCAGACACCAGTGGCTCACATCTGTAATCCCAGCTACTCAGGAGGCAGAGATCAGAAGGATCATAGTTCGAAACCAGCCTAGGCAAATAGTTCATAAGACCCTACCGCGAAAATACACAAATATGGCTCAAGTGGTAGAGCGCCTGCCTAACAAGTGTGAGGCTGAGTTCAAACCCCAGTACTGCAAAAAACAAAACAAAACAAAACAAAAAAACTGGGTGTGGTGGGGCATATCTATAATCCTGGAGGCTGAAGCAGGAAGATCTTGAATTGATGGTCAGCCTGGCTACACATTGAGATCCTGTCTCAAAAAAAAAAAAAAAAATCCTAGCTACTTGGGAGGCTGAGATAGGGAGGATCTCAGTTCAAGGACAGGTCTGGCAAATAGTTCGTGAGACCCCATCTCCAAAATAACCAAGGAGGGAGGGAGAGAGGAAGGAAGGAAGTGAATGAGTGAGTATGGTCAGATCTCATCCCTCCTCTCAGTGGTTCCCATCTCACACTAGGAGCCCACGTCCTCCAGTGGTCTCCGAGATCCTGCCAGTCTGCTTTGCCTCCTGTCTCCATCTTGATCTCTCAAGCTGTATCTCCTGCTCCACCCATCACCTCGCAATGTTGGAGCAACATTGGATTTCTGGTCATGCATGGACACCATCAATTGAATGCCCACCTCGGGGTCTTTGCACTAGCTGTGTCCACCACCCAGAACGTTCTTGCCCAGATCTTCACCTAGCTCTCACTCTCCTTCCATGAGATCTCCTCTCAAATTTGTCTGCTGGTCCTCTGTGGCCCTTTCTCCCCTTACTCTTTGCTTTTGTCCATGGCAGAACAGCATCTGATACACTCCACTAGTCTGCTGTCTGGTTCCACCAGAATGCAAGCTTCTATCATCCACAGAGAAACAAGCCTGCTTTGCTCTCTGCAGATGGCAGGCAGTCCATAAATATTTGCTGAATGAGAGAAACACTGTGGCTCTCCCTCAATCAGCTGATCAGAGCAGATGGGCACCCAAAACTTGACCACTGGCTTGAGCTCTTGACTCCATCCTCCCATCAATGCTGTGTGCTGCTGTTTTTTCACTGAGGTCCTCTCTCTTGTGACCTGTGAACCCAGTGCTGACTTGGGCCAATTTCTGAGGTCAGATAACAGAGGTGCACACACCTGCCAGTGAGCACCAACAACCACCTAAACCAAAGCATCTACACAAGGGCAAAAGAAGACTTGGGCCAGGCACCAGTGGCTCACACAAGCAATTCTAGCTATTTGGGGGGGCAGAGATCAGAAGGATCATAGTTTGAAGCCAGTCTGGGCAAATACTTCGAGAGACCCTATCTCAAAAATATCCAACACAGCCAGGATGCTGGTGGCTCAAGCCTGTACTCCTAACTACTCAGGAGGGAGACACCAGAAAGATCAAGGTTTGAAGCCAGCCCGGGCAAATAGTTCACAAGACCCTATCTTGAAAAATCCCTTCACAAAAAAGGGCTAGGAGTGGCTCAAGATGTAGGCCCTGAGCTCAAACCCCAGTACGATTTAAAAAAAAAAAAAAAATCCAACACCAAAGAGAGCTACAGGAGTGGCTCAAGTGGCAAAGTGGCAGAGCACCTGCCTAGCAAGAATGAGGCTCTGAGTTCAAATTCCAGTAACACCAAAAAAAGAAAAAGAAAAAAAAAGGAGCCAGGTGCCGGTGGCTCACCCCTGTAATCCTAGCTACTCAGGCTGGCTTTGGACTGCAATCCTCCTGATCTCTGCCTCCTGAGTAGCTAGGATTATAGGTGTGAGCCACGAACACCCGACCATAGTTTTTCTCTAGTCTTCAAGAGAAATTATGTGAGGGCCTGACATGGTGGCACATAACTGTAATCCCAGCTATTCCAGAGGTGGAGATAGGAGGATCATGGTTCAGGCCAGCCTGGGCAAAGTTAGTGGGAGATCTTATTGCAAACACAAGATGGGTGGCAAATGCCCACAATCCCAGCTACCAGGCAAAAGTAGGAAACCCTATCTGAAAGACGAGCTAAAAGCAAAAGGGTCTTGCACGGCTCATGTGACAGAAGGGCTTACCTAGCAAGCGCAATCCCCAGTACCACCAAAAAGCATTAAAAAGAAAAAACCATGAGACATTTTGAGAGATTCAAAGCAAGCATTTAGCTCGATCAGAAAGGACTGAGTGAGGGCAGGGGAAGCGGCTCAGTAGTAGCACACACACTTAGTATGTGTGAGACCCTGAGTTCAATCTCCAGCACCACCAAAACCAAGAAAAAAAAAAAAAAAGGAACATCTGATTCTGTATAAGAACTTAGGGGTCCTAGGGTTCTATGGGCCTGTCCTAGAGCTGGCTACGAAAGGAATTCTCACCTTCGTTATTCTTGGCAAAGTTCAGCTTGATCAGGGATCTTCCATCAAGTTTCTGGAAAACACATAATAATAATAACGAATAAGTGGTGTGAAGAAATGCTCAAATTGAAAAGCCAGGTGAAAGAGACACAGCTAGAAAGGTCTCTGCCCAGCTAACCCTCTGCAGCAACAGACCAGAGGAGGGGACCTCTCAGTCAGGCCCTGGGACAAAGCCAGGACTCCAAAGAGGGCTGCAGAACCCATGCCAGGGTGGTTGTAGTTATGTAATCGGTACCCCACACACCTCTAAGTAGAACCCAGGTTTGTAAACACATAAACACTGACAAATTCAAGGGGTGACCACGGGACTCAAGGATAAGGCTGTGGGATGGAGGTTGGTTTTATACTTCCACAATGTCTGAACTTTTTTGAGGGGGGTGCTGGGGATCAAACCCAGGACCTTACCCAAGCTAAGCACATGCTCTAACAATGAGCTACACGGTCAGCCCTTGTCTGAACATCTTTATGGTAAACACATATTACTACTGAAGTTTAAAAATGAGTGTATTTCTAACACTAGTGGAATATCTAGGTGTGGGCTTATTCTGTTATATGACTTATGTAACAAAACGTTAAAAGTGGGGAAGGGCTGGCAATGCAATGTGGGTGCTTAGGATGTGTGTGAGCATCAAAAGAAAAAAAAAGAAAGAAAATGGGGGCAAAGGAATAAATACCCCCAAACGCTAACAGTGGCTGTGATAGAAAAGTGGGATCTGCTATTTGTGAAAGTTTCTACAAATGCCTGTATTCACCTCTTCCACAAAAAACCTTAAAGTAAACTCCTAGCAAGAGGAAGAACCCACCTCACTTCTGCTTGCAGAAGTAAGGGCGCTATAAAGACCCTAGAAGAGCCAGGCAAAGCTGTGCATCCCTGGAGAGCACCTGACTCAGGACCCACATCCTGGCAGATGCTGCTACAGTGGTGGAGGGGATACTCAGGGAAAATGCTAAGGGGTCCTAGCTGCGTCTGTCTTGCACCTTCCCTGACTGATACGTGCTTCTTCGTCACTAACTTGATGCCATCTTTCATGCAAAGCATGCAGGTGAGGATTATACTACGAGAGAGGCAGGAGGATCCTGCCTAGGCATATGACCTCACCAGTGACCCCCACACAACACGCTCCTCTGGGCCCAAGAAGTAACATGTGACTGGCCAGTCCTCAGCCCAGGGCCCCTCTGAAGAGGTGTGGCTCAAGGGACCTCCGCTGACAGAGCTGGTTAAGCATGCCCTCAGTGAGATCCTTCAAGAGCCAGCTAGAGAAGAGGTACAGGCACTGGGCAAGGACAACTAGGGTATAGCAGATGTGCCCCTGCAGAAACACACCCCTACAGATTGCCTGGAACAAAGGAAACAGCCCCCAGCCTTGAGTCATGTGACTGAAGTAATACCAGTATTGGGCTTGGTGAGTGCAGAGAATTTTTCACAGCAGAATATATAAATATCATCATAATAAATGCACTCACTTGTCAGCAAAAGTGACAAGAATTGATGCCCCAAAGAGCACCTGTGATGCAAAACACAAAAACAACAAAAAGCACCCAGGTATAACTGAATAACAAATGTCCACCAGAAGAAAGGCAGAAGCCATGAGGACAGCTGTGGAAAAGACAACTGAGAGGGCAGCTCAAAAGCAGAGAATGGCAGAAAACACTACCGAGACAGCAAAGGGCAGAGCCACAACCGGAAAGGTCCAGCATCAACGCCTTGAGGCAAGCACAGCCTGACACCCAGGAAGGCAGAGACAACCACAGGGTCACAAGACATCTGGCCTGTGACAAGAACCTCAGGAGAAGCCTCTGGGAGCTGTGATGACTCAGCAGCAGACTCACCAAGGGGAAAAAAAAAAGTCAGTTTCAGTGACTAAGACCAAGGAAGGAGAGCAAACTCCTTCGGAAGGCAAGGTTACAACCCACCACCCCAAACATCTGAGAAAAGCCACAGGCTTTGGCAGCTGGCCCACAACCCCTCAGAATAACATAGCCCCCTTTTTTTCAAGAACAGGGAAGAAACACATGTGCAACGCAGGCACCTGTTTAGGAAGGAGTCCTTGGAACCTACAGTGGTCTCAAACAGTCAATAGGGCCAAAAGAGCCAGAAGGGCTAAGAAACCAGCTTCTCCTGCCACCCCAGCAGGACACACCCCAGCAGGACAGCCTTGAGGGATTTTTGTTTTGTTTTGTCTTGCTTTTGCAGTGCTGGCAATGAACCCAGGGCCCTCCACAAGTTAGGCAAATGCTCTACCACTGAGCCACATCCCAGTCCCAAAGAGCATTTTGTTGCCAAGGGAACTCTATCCCATGTTCGGAGTCAACCACAGCTCCAACACAGGGACCCACATTCTTGGATCTTGACTCTCCATCTTGTTCGTGGTCTGCGTTCTTCGCCAAATTGTTCTGGTCTCACTGACCCTCTCTGTGACATCTCAGTGACACACACTGCTCATTTTCCCAATTCCTGCTGCAAGCCTGGCTTTCAGCAGGAGTGACTCCTTCTTGCTGAAGTCAATGAGTGTAAATGAATTAATGAAGCACTGGGTCCACAGAAGGGAAAAAGACAGACTTCTGAGACATAAAGAACCAATGGAGCTATGCGCTGGCAGTTCACGCCTGTAATCCTAGCCAGCCAGTGTTAGAAATGCTGCTCCCAAATGATGAAGAAACACTCAGGACTCACTCAGCAAGGCAAAAAGAAAAGTTTTACTTCTGCATAAGGGTACAGCCAAAGACCATAGTCTGACAGAACACACTGAGTGGGGAGTCAGCTCAGTTTTTATATCTCTCTGCCCCTCACCCTGATGGACAGGTTTGGGCTCACAATCTTTGTGACTGGTTGCTTAGAAGGGTACGTGGAGTAAGGGAGACCTTGAAGCCGGGAGAACAAGAAAATTCTTTTGGGCAATATTCATCTTTAAGCAAGCAGTTTGAGGTCAGGACCTCTGGTGATAAACAGCTCTTTGTTTGACCACAAGAACCTTGCAAGGTCAAGCAATGTTTCACAAAACATGTAGACAGCAATTTGGGGAGGATAGATGACATCTACACAATGATAGTTTTACATTAACTCTTTTGACAAAAAAGATGATGTAACTTTAGTTGATTCTCACATTGGGAGGCAGAGATCAGGAAAACCACAGTTTGAAGTCAGCCCTGGGCAAATAGTTCCCAAGACCCTATCTCAAAAACATCCAATACAAAACATGACAGGCACAGTAGAGCTCAAGTGGTAGAGCATATGCTTAGCAAGAGTGAGTCCCTGAATTCAAACCCCAGTACCAGCACCAAAAAAAAAACCAAAAAACAACCCAACATAAAACGTATAGTGGTGAGTATCCCCACCTATCATGAGGGAAACCAGGGTTCGAGTTCCTGATGGGGAGAAGGCCTTTAGTTTATGAACTGGAGTTGTGGCTCAAGTGAAAGAGCACCTGCTTTGCAGTGTGAAGTCCTGAGTTCAAACCTCAGTCCACCAAACAAAGAGGGCCAGTGGAGTGGCTCAAATGGTAGAGCACTTGCCTTGCTAACATGAGGCCCTGAGTTAGAAGCCCAGTACTGCCCAAAAAACAAAAGGACCAACAGAATGCAGAGAAAGACTAAGCTGTGGAAACTGTGGGATTACACTAAGCACATACTGGGCTAAAAATGAGAACGAGCGGAATTTTACTCTGGGAATGGTCTTCCTGAGCAGCACAGAATTCAAAGCCCCACACCTGTGTGCAGGATATATGAGAAAGCAGCAGTTTGAAGCCAAGTGCGGCAGGTCACACCTGTAATCTCAGTTCCCTGGGAGGCAGAGAACGGTAGCATTGAGGTTTAAGGTCAGCCCAGGCAAAAAACTTAGGAAGACCTCATCTCAACCAATAAACTGGGCATGGCGGTAAACACCTGTAACCCTAGATACAAGGAAGGCAATAGTAGGACTGAGGTCCAAGGTGCAGCAACAAGCAAAAATTCAAGACCCTACCTGAAAATTAAGTAAGTAAACCAAGAAAGGGCTGGGGGGATTGCTCAAGTGGTAGAGTACTTACCTAGCAAGAAGTGGATTGACCTAACTCATGATAAAAACAAATTTTAATAAACCAGATGCTGGTGGCTCACATGTAATCCTAGCTACCTGGGAGGCTGAAATCAGGCGGCTCATGGTTTGAGGCCAACCCGGGCAAATAGTTCATGAGACCCCCATCTCCAAAATAGCCAGAGCAAATAGACTAGAGGTTTGGCTCAAGTGATAGAGTACCTGCTTTGCAAGCAAGAAACCCTGAGTTCAAATCCCAGTCCCACCAAAAAATAGTATTTTTTTGTGTACCCATAAGTAGAATAACACAATGACACCCAGGATCTAGGATCCTAGTGTCAAGGACACAGGGATACAGGCATTTTCTTTCACATACTCCTGTCAGGAGCTTAAAATGATACAATGGCTTTGGACGGCAACTGGCCAGTAGCTCCGGAAAACACACCCATCCTTTGACCTAGCCAGCCTGGAAGAATAATTCTGTGTGCCCAAGGAAATCCACACAAGGACACTCCCTGCACCTCGGCTTGTGATGGCAAATGACTTAAAATCCAATGCAGCACGCACAGAGGACATACACAGATCACGGAAAAATCAGCGCTTCTAGAACTAACATGTTTGTGGCTCCAAGACACCATGCAGCGCATGCAAAGCGCGGTACAGACGAGTCACCCGCTAGGACCTCTCCTATAGCCCAAGAGAAAGTATATAGAGCTATCCCTTCTCATCCGCAGGAGACTGGCTCCAGGACTCTCAGGACACCAAATCCACAGATGCGCTAGTCTCTCACATGAAAAGGCAAAGGGTGTGCATAGAATACACACATATCCTCTCAGACCGTCACACCTCCAGAATGCTCATAATACCAATATAATGTAAATGCCAGGCAAACAGCTATTATACTATACTGCTTAGAGAACTGCGACAGAGCAAAGTCCGTACATGTTTAATACAGGTACAACTTTTTTTCAAATATTTATTATAGTTGATTGAATTCAAGGATGCAGAACCCAAAGATCTAATGGGCTGACTGTATGTATATATGTGTGAACATGTAGGCAACATTTCTAGAAAGGAGTAGGTCCACACCTGCTGGGTGTGGGAAGGTCACTTCCAGTTCCCCTGAATAATTCTCTACCATGTCCATGTGTACATAAAACCACTGAACAAGCAGGCACCAATAGTTCACACCTGTAATCCTAGCTACTCAGGAGGCAGAGATCAAGCCAAGATCATGGGTTGAAGCCACCACCAGGCAAATGGTTCATGAAACCCTATCTTGAAAATTCCCAACAGAAAAAAGGGCTGGTAGAGTGGCTCAAGTGGTAGAGCACCTGCCTAGCAAGTATGAAGCCCTGAGTTCAAACCCCAGCACCACCAAAAGAAAAAAAAAGCCACCAAAACAGAGTAGAGGCAAAAGGACAACTCTTGCATGCCACCTACCTCTCCATTACTGGGGTTGGTCCCGTACTTCTTAAGCCATGGAACGATGTTCCTGATGAGGAGAGACAACAAAAAGTATCACTGGGGCATCTAGATGCTGCCTGATAACAACACTGTAGGCTTGGCGGGTTGTACCTCATTGTAGAAGGGGAAGAGTTCCTTCTTTCATCAAGAGAGACAGGGGAACGCATGTGGATACATGGGTTTCCAAATGTGTTCACGGATTGTTTGGGTTTCTGGTGCCACAGATTGAAGCCAGTGCCCCATGCATTATGCACAACACTGCAGCACTGAGCTACACTCCCTTCATGTTCAAGGCTTTACAGTGATGCACAAACAACAGTTATGTGACCACTGTAACTGGGCAAAAAGGCATAACCGAATGTTGTCACGTCTGTACAATGAAATACTGGGCCAGCATCAAACATTATACTTGTAGCCAGGCACAGCACCTGCCTATCATCCCAGCTGCTTGAGAAACTTAAGGCTGGAGGATCACTTGAGTCCAGAAGTTTGAGGTCAGCCTGGGTAGCATGGTGAGACCCCATTTCAAAATAAAAATAAATAAATAGTAATAGTAATAATAATAATTTGAGCTAAAAATGGATCTGGAACCATGTTCACAGTGTTATCTCAGCTATGTCACTACAAATAAACTCACAGAACAAAGAAGAGCATTAATATTTACAGTGGTGATTCTGGATAGCGAAACTATGATAAAAATTTCCTTTTTTTCTTTGAAGTAGTTTCTAAATTTTCTAAAATAAGCTAGAAAGAAAAACTTACAGAAACTGGCTTATGCTGGAACATAAAACTGGGCATAATGCTTCAAAATGTAGCCCTGGAAAAGTGAGCACCTTTGTTAAGGCTCTGTTTCCATAAACTGAAAAGTACCCGGTTCATTAGCATTCCAAACCAGGTGCAGGTATGCCAGTCAGAACACAGGACAGGCAGGGCAGGAAGAACTCAATCCCACTCCTAGCAGTGACAGCAGCTGCCTGCCAGGGGTCACAGCAGCACTGATGCCATGTCCCTGAGGACACTGGCTGTCCATCCTGGTCCCCAAGAGACCCACCCAGAGCTCCTGACACTGCTGGAACAGGATTCTGATGATCTTGACAGTGCCTGGAGCCACAAACCCTAAGTCCCCTTCCTTAGTGGGCAACAACAATTTCTCCACATTTGTTAGACCAAAACTCAAGGAAAAAACTCACAGCAAGTCAAAGACGACACCTTCCAGCGTGCAGACCGGATATACAAAGGGCTGTAGAGAGAGACTGAAAAGGACAGAGTCACTCCTGGTCAGCTGCTGGCACACTGGCTTGCCACTGCATGGCTCCTGCAACCTCTCCCTCTGGCTTCCTTCCTTGGATCATTCCTCAAACAGTTCCAGGGACCGCTATGCACAGAAGTCAGTACCAAAAGCCACACTGATGCCAGGCTCTGAGACAAGTAAGGCCAAGACATGGTCTCAGGAGGTACCCCAGGGCCTTGGCATGGCAGCAATCAGGCTATTCTCACACCCATGCAACACTTTTTTTCTCTTTTTTTTTTGTGGTACTGGGGCTTGAACTCAAGGCCTTCACCTGGAGCCACTCCACCAGCCCTATTTTTGTGAAGGGTTTTTCAAGATGAGATCTCGCAGAACTATTTGCCCGGGCTGGCTTAGAACCACAACCTTCCTTATCTCTGCCTCCTCAGTAGCTAGGATTATAGGCGTGAGCCACGGCACCTGGCCTCAGGCAGCATCCTGTCATCATGTTCAAGTCCAACAGAGGTTCCTGGAGGTAGCCTCTGGGAGGCAGGACTGGGATACGCTCCCTGCAGTCCACGTTTTTCTACTAAGTACCATCCTTCCCCATCTGAAGAAGGTCCGGTGAGGGACTGTGATCTGTATCCTGCCTGGCCCTGACCAGAGTGCACACAGCATCTCCCACATTTCCCCCACATGCTCCGCACATGACTAGGAATCAACTGTTCCTGAGATTTCTCAGGAAGTTCTGAGTTCTCCACATCCATATGTGAAGGTGAAAGGACCTGCAGAAGCCCCGATACCACAAGAGGTGGGCCTCTTCCTCACCGCACTATGACATCTGGCTGACCTGTATCTACTAAGTGTAGGGATCCTCGGGCAACTCTATCAGTTCTCCAGCATCACCTGGAAACTCAGTATCAGAACTTAGGGAGGAGAGGGATGTTGTAGACAAGCACATGTCCACAGCAGTTGCAACCATGGCTCAGACTGGGCATCACTCAGGCCACAAGTGACCACTGGACCCACCCTCACCCTGGGAGGGTGATTAGGGAGGTGTGGTTCATTGGTCCTAGGTCTGCTTCCCCATCAGACCCCACTTCTATTTCTACACATACTGATCTGGCTGGAAAAAGCATTTGGGTAACTCTGCAGCTGGGTCTCTCCCCATCCTACCGTGCCTGGGTTCCCAGGTAAAGAAGAAGGGTCTCATGGAGTCACTACTATTTCTACTGTTTACTGTGTGGAGCAAGACTGAAGTGTCACAGGCCTGGGTCCAGAGTCAGACCACTGGGTCAAGACACGTGGCACTACTTTCCAGTGACGCCTAGGTGAGGCACTTCACTCTTCTAAGCACTGTTCCTTTCAAGTACAAAACAGGCTTAACAGTATCTACAAACCTTGGAAGGTAAAAATGAGGCTAAAAAGCAAGCTTGAAAATATAGAAGAAGAAAATACCCACTAGCTAATCTATTGTCTCCTAGCTCAGGGAAGATCCAGGGGAGGAACAACAAGAACTCTGTGTGCGTCTTCAAAGGTCAGAGTCACTACAGATAGCAAATGGTCTGAAACGCTCCTACTTGAGCACTGGGGTGGTGGGCTGACTGCCAAACCCTGTGGTATTGCTCTCTCAGATGCTTTGGGTGGGGGCTTGCAGCCTCAACTCCCAAAGTTCATGCTCCATTTGGAGCATTTTGGATTTTGGATTTTCAGATCAGGGATGATCAACTGATAATCTATGCAAATATTATTCCAAAATCTGAAAACCTCCCAAATCTGAAGCATATCAAGTTCCAAGCATTTCGGAAAAAGGATACGCAACCTATACCAGACCACGAACATAGAGGAAGAGAGATGCCTTCAAAACTCTTACCTGCAGTGGTCAAAAAGGTAAACGGCGAAAATTTGTCTGTGGGATATCTGTTTAAAATTAAATAAAAAAACAGAAAAATTAGCAGGGCACAAGTATCTACTCAAGAGGCAGAGATCAGGAGAATCGCAGTTCAAAACCAGCCCAGGCAAATAGTTTGCAAGATCTTATCTCAAAAATACCCAACACAACCCAGGCGCTGGTGCTCAAGCCTATAATCCTAGCTACTCAGGAGGCAAAGATCAGGAGGATCTTGGTTTGAAGCTAGTCTAGGCAAACAGTTCTCAAGATCCTATCTCAAAAAAACCCTTCACATAAAAAAAAGGGCTGGTGGAGTGGCTCAAAGTTCAAGCCCCAGTACCACAAAAAAAAAAACTAACACAAAAAAGGGCTGACAGAGTAGCTCAAGTGGCAGAGCACCTCCCAAGCAAACGTGTGCCCTGAGTTCATACTCCAGTACTGCCAAAACAAAACAATGAAAATATAGGAAAATTATTTGTCACATATTTCGTCTATGTGCATCTACCATTTAAAATTACATTTTAGGAAAAATTTATGTCAATTATATAATACAACAACTATTGCTATGGATTCTTTTTTTGGTGGTTTGAACTCAGGGCCTCACACTTGGCAGGCAGGCACTCTACCCCTTGAGCCACACCTCCAGCTCTTCTTTGCGTGTGTGCGTATGTGTGCATGTGATATAAGGGATGGAGCCCAGCACCTTGCACATGGTCTACCAACGAACTACACCTCCACTCCCTGGATTAAAATCTTTTAATAAGCCAGGCACTGGTGGCTCACACCTGTAATCCTAGCCACTCAGGAGGCAGAGATGAAGAGGACTGCAGTTCAAAGCCAGCCTGAGCAAATGGTTCCTGAGACCATATCTCTAAAAAACCCTTCACAAAAAAAGGGGTGGTGGAGTGGCTCAAGGTATGGCCCTGACTTCAAACCCCAGTACCACAAAAATAAATAAATATCTTTTAATAGATGTCACCAAAACACATGGGGAACATCAAAAAAGAACTTAGACTGATTAGGGATGAGTGATAAGAGTATTTGCTTAGAATATGTAAGACCCCAAGTTTGAGTCCCAGCACTGCAAAAAAAAAAGAGCCTAGAGAAAAAAGTATATATTCTTTACTCCCAATGATGACTATGGCTGGGTGTGAAGCACATGCCTGTAATCCTAGCTACTTAGGAGACAGAGATCAGGAGAATAGAAGCCAGCCCTGGCAAATAGTTCCTGAGATCCTGTCTTGAAAAAAACAATCACAAAAAAGGGCTGGCAGAGTGGCTCAAGGTGTAGGTCCTAAGTTCAAACCCCAGTACCACAAAAATAAATAAAATAAAAATAAAACAAAAAAAAAATGTGCTTTTTTTTTCTGCAGCCTTGCTAACTTTAGGTATTACTATTCCTTTTTTTTTTTTTTATTAAGTTCCTAGAGGAAAAAAAATATTACTTTCATCCACATATTTAAAAATCTCTACTAAGATGAAACATGTTCTCCTCTTTTATGGACTATATCATCAGCCCTGTTGTCTACTGTGATACAGTGTTATGGTTTCTTGTCCATCCTTCTGGGTGACTGTATAATGAAGACATTGTTCCTTAATACCATCCCAGTCCCCACAAGAACAGAAGGATTTCATGCCTTACCTGGCTTCTTACCACCATAGAAGTGAGTATATTCAGCACAGGTAATGTACCTAAAAGAGAGGACAGAATGTAACTACCTTCCCATTACAGGGAGAATAGAGTCTGAAAGTAACTGGTGATATAATTATAGGTCACTCAGCAAATGCTTATTAAACACCTTCTAACATCGTGATAAACATCTGTCATTGGAGATGCACAGACTAGTAAATAAATACCAACAGTCCTGCTTTGCTCTGAAGGAAATGAACTGGATTTATCAGAAGGAGCTATGCAGGGCCCGGGTATGGCTCAAGCGATAGAGCCCCAGCCTAGCAAGCGCAAGGCGTTAAGTGAAAACCACAGTACCACCCAAAAAAAAAAAAGAAGAGGAGGAGGAGAAAAGAGTAAGCACATAAGCACAGGGAGGTCTGCAGAAGAGCTCTGCACACAAAGGCCCAGGTGCAGGAAAAGCTGGATGTGTGTTCCAGAAGAAGGGAGAAGAATGTGCATGGGGTGTATGGCAGCAGATGAAAAGAGAGACAAGAACAATGACTAGATCACAAGGGGACGCTAAGGTCATGGTAAGGACTCTGGACTTGCCCCAATGGGATGGAAGGTTTTTGGTTTTTGGTTTTTTTTTTTTTTTTCAGAACTGGAATTTGAACTCAGAGCCTACACTTTGAGCCATTTTTGTGAAGGGTATTTTCAAGATAGGGTCTTGTGAACTATTTGCCCAGGCTGGCCTCAAACCGTGATACTCCTGATATTGTCTCCTGAGCAGCTAGGATTGCAGGCATGAGCCACCAGCGCCCAGCAGATGGAAGGTTTTGAGCAGGGCACTGACATGATCTAATATATGTCAAAGCATCATTCTACTGCTCTGTGTAGGGAGACAAGTCCAAGAAACAGGAGAAAACCAATCAGGAGGTAATTACAAAGATGCAAGAAGGACTGAGCATACACTCCACCCGGGGAGTGGCAGACAAGGTGAGAAATGGTCAGTACCTCAAAGAGCCATCAGGACTTCCTGGTGGACAGGAAGAAGGGAGAAGCACCAAGGTCAATGCCCAGAGCTCTGACCTGAGCAAACTGAGCACATTTTGAGTTGAAAATATAAGTAGAAAATTGAGCTGAAAACATAATAAGCAGAAAATTCTTTTAATATACCTAATATATTAAACATCACAACTTAGCCTTACTCAAAATACTTATATTAGCCACAGGGGAAATCATTTAACAAAAAGCTTTAGGGCGAAGAGCCGGTGGCTATGCCCGTAATCCTAGTTACTGACTGGGAACTGTGCCCACTGTCTCCAGCACCTCATGACAGAATCATACTGCATATTGTTGGCACAGGAAAAGATCAAAATCCAAAATCAAATATAGCTTCTAATGAATGCATAGTGCTTCACGTCATCATAAAGGTGAAAAATTGTAAGTCAACCACAGTAAGTCGGGTACTATCTACAGCAATGCAACCACTGAGGCAGGAAGGGTGAGAGAGAGGCAGGCTCAAGGGCGGAAAACCAAGAGTTCCATTTGGGGCATATTAACTTTGAGATGTCCATTAATTCTCCAGATGGAACTGAAGGCTTGGCTCAGGATAGAGCACCTGCCTAGCAAGTGCAAAGCCCTGAGTACAAACTCTAGTACACCCCCTCAAAGAATATATATATATATTTATAGTTCTCTAGGTAGATGTTGAGTGAAAACTGACAACTGCAGGACTAGAGAGCTCCACTACAGATGACTTTTAAAGATCACCAACAGAGAACGATAAAGTCTGGAGAAGGGGTGAAGCCCCAGGAAAGTGACTAAGAAAAGCCACTGAAGCAGATGGAAAACCAAGAGCATTTAGGATCCCAGATACCGCAGAGAGTTTCTGAAGGAGTTAGTGATCACTGTGTTAGTGATCAAATGAGGACGGAAAGTTGAACACCAGATTTGGGCACACAGAAGTCAAAGGTATCCTCATCAGAGCACTTCTGGGTGAGAAATCTATCTGACTGCAGTGTTTTCAAGAGACAGCAGACACAGCAGGTGGCCACAGGTCTTTCTCCTGTTCGGAAGAGAACCAAAGAAACAGGGTGGCAGACGAAGAGGAACCTGGGGTACGCTGGCTTGTTTTAAACTAGAAGACTGCAGCATGTGTATAGTAGACGGGCGTGGGCCAAGAGCAAAGCTCCCGAGTGGAAAGAGGAATTGGTCCGGTCCGAGAGCCAGGATGCAGTGACGCGGCGGCTGAGAGACATTTCCGCCGAAGGAGGCGGAGGAAGAGGCTTCCGGGAGGAAGTGACATATGGAACGAACTATGTCGACGAGCTCCGAGAGAGAAAAGGAGCGTACTAAGTGCGGGACAAGAGGAAAACCAAGGCAAAGTGGGCACCATTCCCAGCCGCGACTCAACTTACATCTTATCCTTCTGGTGCTGTCGCTTTCCATGGCGGCGGCGGCCGCGGGGAGAGAACTAGGAGAACACGAAAAAGCCGCGGCCAACGACTTAGAGCCCTCTGTTTCCGCCGAGTGTCTTGACTACTTCCGGGTTTCGGAGTTCAGCCCCGGAAGTGGGCGCTAGGCCTGTCGGGAACTGTGGTTTCTTGACATCAAGTGCACTTGCGAAGCGGCCCGGCGGGGTCGGTGGCTACTGAGCTGAGTGCGCAGGCTGGTTGTAGTGTCTTGCGTCTGTGTTGGCCTCTGAGGAGCATCTTCCCCAGGAACCTCTCGCTGGACCGCCTCGTTATGCACAGCCGAAGCTCATTGTATCCCTGCTGAAACTCGCCCAAAGTTTGCAAGTCTCTTAAAAGTCGTTCTGTTTCCCCCAGTCCACCAGCCCCACCTTCTCTGCTTTCCTCTGGGGCAAACGCATACAAAGCTAGGGCCATACCTGCTGTCTACTCGCTCATTTCCCATTCTCTCCAATTCTCTCCAAGTATTGGCTTCCCATGCCTCCAGGTCCCTCAGTGGTCAGACGCAGGTGCTTAACTTGGAGGTCCAAAGGCCTTTCTGGTCCTTAGTCTCTTCTGTTAGATCATTCCCTTTGTTATAAATGCATTCCCAAATACTGATCAAAGAAACACTAGGGAGTCGCTCATCAAGGCAAAAAGAAAAGTTTTACTTCTGCAAAAGGGGTGCAGCACAGACCAGAGTCTGATAGAACACACTGAGAGTGATCAGCTTCAGTTTTTAATCTCTCTCTGTCCTTCACCTGATTGGTGGGTTTGGGTTCACAATGTGCGATTGGTTACTTAGAAAAGGGGGCACTTAGTATAAGGGTGATCCCTGAAGCAGGGAGAATAAGAAAATTCTTTTGGGCAATACCATTGTTAAGCAAAGCAGTTTGAGATTAGACATCTGGTGACAAACAGCTCTTTATTTGACCACAAGAACCTTGCAAGGTCAAGCAACGCTTCACAAAACATGTGTAGCAGGAAAGCAAGGGTGGGGCAGACAGACTATGTTCTGACGACCAGACTGAGAGGGGATGCCAAAACAGAGAGATAAAACTTAAAGAATTAAAACATGAAGGTCACATAACAATGGGGAAATGAATTAGCAAATAGTCATGCAGCCAAAGTGGTTGAGCTTTGCTTTTTGCTTCTGTAACCTGTTTGCAAAGGTACATAAGTGAGGCCTCTTTGTTCTCAGAACTCAGTGTTTAAACACAAGTCCACTGAGTCTGTGCAAGCACAAAAAAAAAAAAAAAAACATTTCCTGCTAATCTGCCTCAGTGTCTCATATCTCAGCTTGTAATATCCTGCAACATTTCTTGGGGCTCGTTTGTTGTGATTGCAGAAACAGTGAGTTATCATCTCCTTTGTCACTGGGGTGCATCCCCAGACTGCTGGTTGTAGATCCCACCAGGTGCCAATGGACAGCTTGATCCGGAAGGGGATTCATCCTCCCTGGGAGTTGTAGTGAGGCCTCAGGATGCACAACAGAACCTGATGAGGCACAGGAACCAACTTCAGAGCACTGCTCATCAGACTGGTAAGAACCTGGGTTCAAATTCAGGCCTGCCTCAGGAGGTAGAAGGAGACTGATCCCCTCCAGAGACCACTAGTAACTACCTTTTGGGGTGAAGATGTGCTCTCAGGTTTGAGGAGTGGGGCAAAAGTACTTGCTATATAAAAGTATGTAAGACACCGCTGAGAGTTTACAGGGGTTTGAGCTTTTCCCAGGAAGTAGTCACAACTGAGGTTAAGGATGAATAACAAAAAATTCAGTTCCAAAGTGGGGGAGACTCCAAGAGAAACAGATACATCATCCACTATTCCACCAGATAGCCTTCTGGTGGAATACTTTTTTTTTCTTTTTTTGAGAATGAACTCTAATTGTTTATGTGTGTGTGTGTGTAAATTTGTTTAATGCACTGGGCAAAATTTAATTTGCTCCTAAAATTTGAGTTCATCTTATGCATGCTTAAGTTGACATTTTTTCCTGGCATACTTAATTTATAAAACTTGTGTGTGTGTGTGTGTGTGTGTGTGTGTGTGTGTGTGTGTGTATGTAAGTAATGCATGGATGACACGCACAGGAATTTCAGATCCTCAGGGTTCTTGAGCTTGCTCTGAGAATGAAAGTGTCGGGGTACTTTAACTTGCAGCCCACCTATCCTAAAAATCAGCTATAACTGGCATGACCCTCAGGTAACCTCGTGAAGAGGAAAATAGCCTTGAAACAGGGTTGTAAAACATGGTAAACTGTCAATTAAAAGCTGTAACCTCGGACAGAGCTGTGAGGAATTGCCCATTAGAGCCATGCAAAAGTTTGGGACCGAGATGAAAGGCACCATGCAGAGATAAGCACCCATTCCTGCCTTTCTTTGTCTCCACTTGTAAATAAACTTTCCAAAACAGGACTCCCCTGCTGTTCTTATCTAAACCTTAGGTTTCTATTCCACTACTAGCCCCTAATTTATGGGAGAACACATTCCTTGTAACCTGATAAGTAAACTTCTGGTGTTTCTCCAGTTCCCAATAAATAATCTTACCCCACCACCAGGATGTGGGCAATGTCAGGAAAATGTGACCCCAGGGGCATGAGGAATTCCTATGTGACAATATAGTCACATAAGACCTGCTTAAATTTTGCATTCAGGGTCCTTGTTGAAACCTGCTGCGTCAGGCGGATGCTTGGACCCTAGCTAGCTAGAAAATAAACCTCACCTTATGACTTCCTTTGTCTCGAGTGTCCTTTGTCCTCTCAGAAGGTGGCCGGCCTCGTACCCTCACAGCTGGAGGCCCAGAGAGATCGGCCCCTCCTGAGAGGAACAAACGGCCTCCAATACCGAGGTTTAATTGGGAAAGACCGTGGAAGGAGGATTGGCCACCTCCATTTGGAGGGACCTGGGGTCCCCATCTGAATTTGGTTGGGAATTCTCGTTGAGTGGAGGGAAAGGGTTACAGCCCTGGAGGCTTCACTATTGGAAGTCATGGGAGACGTCCCCGACAGTTTTCTAGATACTTACGATCATCCAAAACTGAACCGAGAGGATATTAATCACCTGACTAGATCTATAGCACAAAACGAAATTGAAGCAGCAATAAAGAGTCTCCCAAAAAAGAAAAGTCCAGGACCTGATGGATTCTCTGCTGAATTCTATCAGACATTTAAAAAAGAACTAATACCAGCCCTCCTTAAACTGTACCATGAAATAGAAAGGGAAGGAACACTGCCTAACTTATTTTGTGAAGCCAATATTACTCTCATCCCAAAACCAGACAAAGACACCTCCAAAACAGAGAACTATAGGTCAATTTCCTTAATGAACATCGATGCAAAAATCCTAAATAAAATAATGGCAAACTGAATCCATCATACATCCATGACCAAGTCAGGGATCAGGGGTGTTCAACATATGCGAATCCGTAAATGTAATACAGCACATTAATAGAAGCAAAGACAAAAAACACTTGATCATCTTAATTAATAGATGCAGAAAAAGCCTTCAACAAGATACAACACCACTTCATGATAAAAGCTCTAAGAAAACTAGGAATAGAAGGAATGTACCTCAATATTGTAAAGGCTATATATGACAAACCTATAGCCAACATCATACTTAACTGTGAAAAACTGAAACCATTTCCCCTAAAATCAGGAACAAGACAAGGGTGCCCACTATCCCCACTCCTATTCAACATAGTACTGGAATTCCTAGCCAGAGCAATTAGGCAAGAAGAAAAAATAAAAGGAATACAAATAGGTAAAGAAACTGTCAAACTATCCCTATTTGCAGACAATATGATCCTATACCTTTAAGACCCAAAAACTCCTAGATACCATAAACAGCTATAGCAAGGTGGCAGGATACAAAATCAACTTACAAAAATCATTAGCTTTTCTAACAAACTGAGAAAGAACATATGGAAACAATTCCATTTACAGTAGCCTTAAAAAAAATCAAATACCTAGGAGTAAACTTAACAAAGGATGTGAGTGACCTCTATAAGGAGAACTACAAACCCCTGAAGAAAGAGATTGAGGAAGACTACAGAAGGTGGAGAGGTCTCCCATGCTCATGGATTGGTAGAATCAACATAGTAGAAATGGCTATTCTACCAAAAGCAATCTACATGTTTAATGCAATTCCCATCAAAATCCCAATGACATTCATCACAGAGATTGAAAAATCTACCCTAAAGTTCATTTGGAAACAAAAGAGACCACAAATAGCCAAGACAATACTCAGCAAAAAGAGCAATGCTGGAGGTATCACAATACCTGACTTCAAACTATATTACAAAGCAATAGCAATAAAAACAGCATGGTACTGGCACAAAAACAGACATGAAGACCAGTGGAACAGAATAGAGGACCCAGACATGAATCCACACTACTATACCCACCTTATTTTTGACAAAGGGGCCAAAAATATACTATGGAGAAAAGATAGTCTCCTCAACAAATGTTGCTGGGAAAAGTGGTTATCCATCTGCAAGAAACTGAAACTAGATCCATGTTTATCACCCTGTACTAGTATCAACTCAAAATGGATCAAGGACCTGAATATCAGACCCGAAACTCTGAAGTTAGTACAGAAAGGAGTAGGAAACACTCTGGAAGTAATAGGTATCGGCAAAGACTTCCTCAATAGAACCCCAGCAGCCCAGCAACTAAGAGAAAGAATGGACAAATGGGACTTCATAAAATTAAAAAGCTTCTGCACAACAAAAGAAATGGTCTCTAAACTGAAGAGACCACCCACGGAGTGGGAAAAAATATTTGCAAGCTATTCATCAGACAAAGGACTGATAACCAGAATATATAGGGAACTTCAGAAACTAAACTCTCCCAAAATCAATGAACCAATAAAGAAATGGGCAACTGAACTAAACAGAACTTTCTCAAAGGAAGAAATTCAAATAGCCAAAAAACACATGAAAAAATGCTCACCATCTCTAGCCGTAAAAGAAATGGAAATTAAAACCACACTAAGATTCCACCTCATCCCTGTTAGAATAGACATCATCAAAAACACCACCAACAATAGGTGTTGTCGTGAGGATGCAGG